GGGAGGGAGTCCAGAAATGGGGTGCCCCCATGGAAAAAGCTCTCCCCCTTGCAGAGGCCACCTCCCCTCCTTTGGCGAATGGACCTGGAGGAGGGCCTCGTTAGATGATCTTAAGGTCTGGGTAGGTACATGTGAGAGAAAGTGCTCCTTCGAGTAATCTGGTCCTAAACTATGTAGAGCTTTAAAGGTCAAAAACAGCATTATGAATTTAGACAAATTTGCATATGCTTTATGCCAAGTCAGATCACTGGCCATCTGATCCATCCATTTCTACATCCCATAGATTTCCAGTCATTATTTTAAGTACTTTTAAAAATATTTACAAAATGATATCAGTGCCAAAGTTTAAACATATGGCAAAATCTGGGCCCACTCCAACTTCCGGGGAAACCACTAATTATTTTTTTCCCTCCCTGCAGAACACATGCAAGTAAGAGAGCAGTAAATCTGGAGTATCTGTCCTATCTACGAGATGCGGTTATGAGGCCTTTGACTTGCCAAGGCATCGAAGGAGTCCAGGATGCTGTAGCCTTCATGGATTCTTACTGCTTGTTAAAGGAAGATGTGGAAACCATCATGGAAGCCACCAACTGGGGAGGCAAGCCTAGCGCGTTCTCCAAATTAGATTCCAAGGCAAGTTACGGATTTTCCTGCCTTTCAGTGCATTTGGCTGAGTTTTTGAAAGAAATGGTTTGAGAAAGACCGTTAATCAACTTCCAAATACAGTCTGCCCAGCTCCCAAGAAATAAAGCAAACTAAACACACACACGTACACACACCCCTCGAGTCCCAGGCAGTTCTGTCTTTGACACACAAGTGTGATTTTCTGCCACTTCAGAAAAAGGTTCAAAGTAAAAAGGATGCTTTGCATGTTATTTCTGTTAGTCCACTATTATGGTACAAAAACAGCTTGCAAAAGAGAGTGCTGCATTTGTTCTTCTAATGAGATCAGAATGTGGGTTTCATTGATCCAGCAACCAGCTGCTTCAGTGGTGGAACCAGATAGATATTAAACAGCTGTTCTTTGATGAAGTAGGCAGGTGAGAACTCTGAGAGCATCTCTTTCTAGCATGCGAAGAGCCCATTTTGTCCAAGTTATATAGCAACAAAGTAATGATTCTTGAGGTCTGAGAAATCTATGTTTTGACTTGAAGATCTTGCTCTCTTTTGATGGGAGTTCTTTTCTCCACTCTGCCTGAAAAATTTAGCTTTTTCTTCAGAACACACCAGGCTGGGCACTCTGTTTTGTAGTTGAATCTATTAAGCCCCAATTTCCCAGGCTTTAAGAAATAACGTCAACAGATCTATCATGAAAATCGTATGCATTGTGGAAGATTTTAAGCCTATTGGGCTTCTCCTTTACTTCATGTGAGTGAGTTTAGCATGGAAAATACTTACCCCTCTCCTTCATTTGCATGTTACTGGAAAAGGTTGGTATTGTCATGTTATATTTTGTTAATGTTTACTTATCACTATTAGACTTTCTACTGAGAAATTCCAGATAACTTGCAAGGTATTTCAGAGTTCCCCATACACCCACTTGTTGTTTAGCAACTAAGTTCTGTTCCAGTGACCAAGTTGTTAAGTGAAATGGTCTCTAAGTGAACGTGTGACAGAGAATGAGAGAGAGAGAGAGAGAAACACTGTGAAGATCACTGGTTGCTGCGGTCTCATTCGGATAAAGTTCTCTTATACATTTATGTCAGTGTTAACTCTCACCTCTCACTCTAGTATGCGTTATTGTCAGGTGCAAAAAATGTCATAAATGCACACATTAGGCAGAAAATGAATTTTTTATTAGTTGAATTTGCGAATGGTCACTAAATGGGGTAGTCACTAAATGGGGAGCAGGTGTAATACAATTTGTATCTCATCAGTAATGACTAAACTAAAAATGAAATCTTATGCTCTCAACAGGTTAAATCGGCATTCACACGAGCCTATAATAAAGTTGTGCATCTTACACCATATTCCCTGCAAATTGCACAGAAATCAAAACGAGTGGAATCAGTGGATTCAGAAATGAAGGAAGGACTGGAAGCTAATGGAGCTGAGTCTGAGAATGAGCAAGCAAGCGTTGAAAGCGATGCAATGATTAAGGTACCACTCCCCTGGGCGGCGCATTTAAATATCTAAATTTACAGGTAGTCCTCAGTTAACGACCACTTGTTCAGTGACTGTTTGAACTTACCACTGTGTTGAAGAAGTGGTACGTACTTACGACCAGTCCTCAAAGTTCTGGCTGTTGCAGTGCCCCCGTGGTCACATGATCATGGTCCGAGTGCTTGGCAACTGGCCCAGATTTCCAAATATCATAGGATCCCGCGGTCACATGATCATGATTTGCAACCTTCCCCCATTGACTTTCCACAAGCAAAGTCAATGGGGGAAGCCAGCAGGAAGTTGTGATCACAGGAGGTCCTCACGTAATGGCCTGCGGGGATTTGCTTAACAATAGTAACTGGGGACTACTGGAACTGCTGCCGCTAAGTGGCGCGGTTACATGACATTGTTCTTTATGACCGCATCCCTTGAAAATTCCGGCCCCAATTACCATAGTTAAGTGAGGACTACCTGGATAGAATTGAAAATTAGAAATCTTTTAAAGATTTGCTTAAAGAACTTTGATCTTTAATGCTGAATGTTTTTGAATAATTATAGGAGATTTGGTTCTGGATTAGTCAGAGTTTACTTTTTTCCCCCTTTTCTGTTGTCTTCTTTCTCTCCCCACATTTGCTTACATTTTGCTTTCTAGTCCATATGTTTTGCTAGTTCTTTGGAGAAATTATAGCTACAGTGGGGTGTTTTTTTCCTTTTTAGTGCTTGTAAATATATGGTACAGTTTGGAACCGAAAACTGAATTTGTGAGTAGCTTGAGGCGCTGTTACTTCAGACTGCATTTAAAAACTAAAGTATGTTCTTTTTTGGCAGAAAAAGACCAAACCTGTCAAGCCACCAAAAGTAGAAAGAAATGAAGAAAGGAAAAAAGGAAAGTCAAAGAAAAAATCTAAATAAATTGTCTATGCAAGCTTACTGTTGACTGTGGATACAGTAAATGGTTGGGCAAACTCTTCAGCAGTTGCCTTGTTTTATTATCATTGCACAAGAATGACAAATATATAATATGCTGCTTGCAGAAAAAGGAGATGCAGGATCTATATTGTTTGATTTCTGTAAATATGGAAAGAGGCTCAGTCATCCCTGGGAGAGAAAGAGCCCAAGCTGCTTGTGTTAATTCTCTGCTTACCTTCACAGAGCTCCTATATTTTTTTAAAATGCTCATTATGTGGCCAACCATGTATATAACATATAATGAACAAACCCTAACTGGTTATTCATTTTTGTATATGAAAGTGCAGCGCTGTGTAAAAGTTGCAATAAAACTAGTTTCATATTTTTAACCAATTTTTAAAAAATTGCATTGCACGTTACTGTAAGTTGTCTTATGCCTGTACCTCTGCTTAGAAGCTAATCCCTGGAGCAGTAGCTTGCACAACTGAGACACAATTCTGTGTACTTTATTGGGCATGACAGCAAACCTGGGGGTGAGCTCAAGAGCAATACCACAGTACAGTGTTTCTCTTTTTGTAGTAATTTTATTAAAGTTTACAAGTACAAAGATAAAAGACTAATACAAACTAAGAAAAATATAAAACGTGAAGATGAGAAAGAAAAGCGCAAAAAGGAGAGAAAGAAGAAAAAGGGGAAAAAAAGAAAGAAAAAGAGATATATAAAAGAATGACTCCTCCTTCCCTCCAGACAAGTATAAACAACTTCAATAACTTAACATCTTCTCTAGTGTTTCAATAAGAAAAAAACCCTCTTCTTCCCATATCTCATCTCTTATCAATAAACAAATTGTAAAAACTCATAATTCAGTCCTATTCAGCAAAAGTCCATTAAGAGCTACCAGAAATATATAAAAATTCCCCTCACCCTGATGGGTTGTG